GCTATAAATATGATTCAATCGTACAATTAAATAACACGGGTATGGTTTAATAGTACATATAGTTTAACATAATCTTGATGAACGTATTCTAATTAAATCTATGTTGTATATCATAATATAATAATGGATGTGATAATATCGATATTGAATAAAATCGCACACTAGTTGGTTTTATTACACTACTTACATATTTATAAGTATTTGTATTTATTCTGTACCTCCAAGGTTTTGAGAAAAATAATTTATTAATTTTATATATTATTTTGTACTTATATACTTTCGATAGTTAAATAAACATAAAGTTTTATTTATTTGTACACATTAGATGTTTGTTTTACTAGGTGAAATTTTTAGTTTTAAAATAACTTAACTCAATCCAATTAATTTGTAACACAATATATGAACATCAAAATCTATTAATTTTTTTTTTCTTATAAATATAATGAGTTAAAGTCTATGCTTAGAGTCATTATTATAACATGTTAAGAAGCATAAAATATTATGCTATTATGGTGTAATTATAAATGCGTTGAGTATTTAAATATTAGGTAAAATTGTTGTACAAAGAGGTAGTTTATAATCAACAGAATAGGGAAAATAACAAGTGAATATATACTGGCGTAGACTAAGGTAGAAAAATTGATTACGCGGACAAATTGGTGGGAGTTTCAGTTCTTTAATCCCAGTCTTCCATACATCACTATACGAATGGTGGACGTTGGCCAACCACTAATCACTAGGTGTAATATTTTTCTAAATATTTTTACTATTTTTATATGCATTGCAGATCGATCTATAAATGAGTACATTAATCATGCAATTTTCGCATATTACAATATAATGTAGAATCCTACGATGATCAGCCTTTAATTATATCTTATCTATACAACAGTAAAAAAAACACAATAATTCACTTAGGTATCTATTTATTGGTATACATTTGTAGGGAAATTGAAGTTAACGGAATAAAATTTGTATCATCAATATTTACTCTTTGCCTCAAAATCTTCTTAAACATAACTAAATTACTCATGATCAATGCAGCACGCTACTTACAAATCAATCTAAATGATCATTAACACAAGATTCACATATGTTAATCTAAAACATATTCTCAAAACAACACATACAGTTGTATTTTTTATAATATACTGAATCTCTATCTCCTCAGTCATTACATAATACTCATTATAGTAATTAGGTTTCTGAACAAAGATAATCATAAATTAAGTACAATTAAAGCCATATGGGTTTCGAATAGAGTTTGTTTAGCGAATGCATCAAAACCCGTACATATATACAGTAATTCGAACAATACAATATTACGAAAATTTAAATCAGCCAATCACTAGGGTACCATGAATAGTTAGTTAAGCTACCTCAATAACCCATGTACATCTATGTAAAATGTACAATCTTCTCAGATAATAATACTCCAAATGTGTCTGATAAATCTAAGACAACTAACTTTGTGTCGAAATAACTTTATAATCACTAACATTTTCTCATATTCTGTTTAGCAAATACTATATTTTTGGTAACTCTACTTAAAAACTAAAATAAAAATGTAAAACTGAAACTGAACTCTTATATATTAATTTATTGGTTCACTAATCTTAAATATTACGTATTAGTATTAATATTATTTCATTTCAAATTCTTTATTATAAAGTAATTTCAATTTTACTAACAACTCGTGTTTTTTTTTTATTTTTTTAATGATTTTTGAGGTGTAATTAAATTAACAGATTATAATATAGGTAACCTCATTATTTATTTGATTGTAATACATTGTGTATAATAAAAACTGATAAAAATACATGTTTTTTGAGCATTATAAATTTAATATTATAGTTAAATATATGAAAATTTATTTAATTAGTCGTACAACATTTAGAGGAAAAGTTTTATTTTATAAATTTTTATAAAATGATTTTATTTGAATAGAAATTATAACTAAGTCCATACAATTAAAGAAATGTTAATCATATAATGATTAACATATAACAGTTATATTTATAAATTTCGTCAAATATTTATAAATATATATATGTTACTGTAAGTATTGAACTCAGTCATTTTATGAAATAACTAGGTATTTCATGAATTACCTGTGAATGTTAGTGAAATTATGAAACAATACATGACAATTATACTTTATTTAGTTATTTTATAGTATATCTCTTTAGTCTAAATAATTTTAGTTTGATTTCCGTTTAAATATAGAATACAATTAAATTTAAAATATATTATAGTATTTTATTTATTTTAAGCTGAATTAATTATGATTACATTATTTATTTGTACATTAAATGGCTATTGTGGCATTTATAGTTGTACAGTAAATTGTTTTTTGTTTTTTTTTTTTGCAAACACACCACTTTGTATCACATTTTTGGTACCAGTTTACATAAAAAAACCCTGACCAGTTCTCAGTGACTATGCAGTTACCGCAGATCTTAATGTAATACCTACATTTGGAACAAATAAAATAACGGTAGTATTGTAAATATTTTGTAAAATTTGACATATTAACGAAGTGAGCCCCGGAAATGTATAGAATAACTAATTAAAGTATAAATTATATACATTACTTACTTATAGTTATTTCATAAACTAACTGATTCAATACTTTAACTGTAACATATATTAAGTTCCGTTAGCTCAAACTCTAGAACTTGAAATTATCGATACTTGTTTGCTTGAATAAAATATGAGACTCTTTGCAATATAAAAAAAGCATTTTAATAAATTAAGTTTGAGTTTCAGTTTTTTTTATCTTTCTGTTAAATTTGATTGTGAAGGTCCTCATAATATTTTTTTACCAAACGCAAAAAGTAAAAATACGTAATATATATATATATAAGTAAATATACTATCGCATGTGAATATTATATTAATTTAATACAGTTTAATTATTTTTTATACTATGATTCTCAGCATATAATATTTTAGAATTAATTATATTAGTAGAACGAACGGGGACACTGATCAACAATTATACATACTGCGTTTTCTAATTAATTAATTCTATTTCTATTTCTGTAGAAGTTAGAATTTCAAACAGTCATATTAAGTTTGTAAAATAAAATTATATTTGAACATTGAAAAAATATTTAAGTATGATAGACAAATGTAATTTATGTGTTGATACAAAATATTCATAAAATTTACAGTTAAAAACATTATGAATCGTTCATTATTTTTGATGTTTTTTGTATGAATATATTCTTATTTTAATAATCTAATAGTATTCATATTAAGAGCAGGTACAGAATAAGGAGAGAATTTAGATATTTTTTAAGTGAATATAATATATTTTTATAGTAAATATAAATATAATTCCAGCGTCATTCATTATTAAAAATAAGTATGGTTTTAAGGTTTGAATTCAGAACAAGAGTTATTAAAAATAAATTTTTTCATTGGGTTATTTATAAATTTAAAACGTAGACATCTAAATATTTTGTAAATATGAATTTGGATGGTAAAGTTAAATCGTAAAGTGAATAGTTCATGATATAAAAGTGAAAAAATTAAAAATAAAAGTGTGACAGTCTGATTTTATATTAAACTTTTTATATTTGTAAAAATAGGTCATGGAATATAAAATAAATTACAAAATGTAGAGTTTTTTTTCTGTATTAAATATTTACTATTAAGTATCTTATAATAAAAAAATCGTTATATTTTTGAATAAATTAGGAATTTAGGCTTGGATCATTACTTCAATTTGTATTAAAAAATAAAATAACATAATAGACGTTTTGTTATTGTTATGTTTCTAAAAAAGTATGTTTTTTTCAATAGATTTTTCACATTTCATACATAACTTCTAGTGTATCAGCTAAAAAATACACAATATAGACAAAAACATCAATTGACGAGAAGATCGACGGTGAAAAGTGAAAAATAAATATTAATACGACCATTTATTGCGTGTATACAAGAGATTCGGGGATGTCAGATTGTTGTTTTTTTTTTTTTTTACATAAATGGACTTAATAGAGTAGGTAATATATACACGTTAACCGTAATTGTAAGTAAGTTTATTTATCATAATAGCTTGATATATATATATATATATAAATTTATGAATATTAAAAACAAACAGCAATATTACGAGGTAAGTTTCATCCACCCTACCACAATGCGTTTACGTTGAACACTTGTTGTTGCCTCCTAACCACCGTATATCGTATACAAATCATTTATACGCCATTGGTATAACTGTTTAAATGGAAATTCGATGTAAGCTGATTAGAGGCGTTGATGCGTGGTAGGTAAGTGGCATACTATCGTTTCGAATGTAGAGCAATCGGATTGTGAACGTCCAACTATAACGTAATTGCAGAGGGATTAAAAAGATCAAAGATCGGAGAGATCATGATGTTACACGGATGTTAACATTCGTAGGGTTATACGTCATACATGGAAACTAGATTTTGCCGAGCTCGTGGTACAGTTTTTAAAGTAATTTTGACAAAAAACGATGATGTACAAATGTTGTTATTTATTTCGGGCCACTAATTGAAAAACTATGATGTTAGCTGCCCTCTAGTGTGTGTGGAAAGAAAAGTTTCTTCGACGGGTGGACATTGTACGCTTGTACACTACAGAGCTACAAGTGATCATGCAGTTAGGTTCGTAACGTTCACTAAGGTTCTTGCGGGTTATGGGATTGACGGTTAGAGTTCCCGTTGCCCTCGCGTCCAGGAGCGTATTTTAGCGGTGTGGTGAAGGGGCGATCACCCCCTTTGAACTCGTATTTTAGGAATCGATAATATGTGAGATACACATTTCAAATTTTTCAAATCAAATTACGTGTGGCTGTGAATACTGAAATGGGCTTTTTGTCGGGTCCATACTTAGTGAAAAATCAAATAAAACACAAGCTTAACTTTCAAAACACAGACAGATGTTAAAAAAGAACTACACAAAAGTCGATTCTAAGCGGATCCATCATTAGATTAAAAAAAAAAAAAACCACAAATATTAAGGATTCATTAGATTTAAATATTACCAACAGTTTTACTAATAAATGTTGAGCCTGAATTAAAGAAAACATTTGAGTCGTCCACCCTCCACCCCTTAGAAGTAATTCTAAATACGCCCCTGCTCGCGTCCAAATGTTTATCTTTTCAAACGGGACGCGATATCTCACTGGCATTATAACGTTTACCCTGGGCGGTGTAATTGATACGCGCACACACACGCGCACACACGCACGCACGCACACACACACACACACACACACACGCGCGCGCGTACACACATACATTTATTATACAGTATATACTTGTACGTTTAACATATTAAAACGGTTGATAATTGTTTGCACGTTTTTTACGCATTTATTTTTTACAATACGTTTTGTTCTGTGCGACATCCGTTCCCGCCGCCACCGCCGCCGCCGCCGCCGCCGTTGTTCTGAAGCAACGCTATGGTCGCCGGGTTCATGTAGTGCACCTCGGACACGTTGCTGTTGTACACCTGCTGGCCGAACGCGGCGGTCGGCGTGGCCGTGTCGTTGCGCGACTGCTCGTACCGGCGGCGCAGGCACGGCGGACACCACGGCGGCGACCTGGGCCAGCAGCTCTGCAACGTCTTCTGGAACGCCACGCGGAACTCGCGGTTGAAGTACGCGTAGATGAGCGGGTTCAGCGCCGAGTTGAAGTAACCCACCCAGAACACGAGCACCGTGATCCACCGGGGCATCCACGAGGCGCCGTCCATCAGCGAGCTCATCATGTACCTGCCGAGCACAAGACGCACCGGTTTAATAAATTTTAGGCCGTGTTCGGGCCGCAGATAGTGTTCACGGTAAATGTGAACAACCAATTGGTTCCGATTATAAAAAAACCGTAACATGCTGGTTCGGTCCGATCACTACCGGTAAAATACGATTGAGGACGTTCGATTTTTTTTTTTTTCCAACGTTGCCAAATGTAATCGATCACATAATATGAGCACAATAATCCGTTGATATTTATCGGACTTTTATCGGATCAGCTGGATGTTAATAGTAACCTGGACACCGGATACCAGAGAATGACGGTTAAGCTTTGCAGTCGTCGCACAAACTGACCGTCTATTCGTATTAGGTATTTTTACAAGTCCTACATGTTTTTAATTTTTTATTCGTATTATACATTACATATTATTACGCGCTTATTTGTATACGATTATAATTATTAGTTTATGACTTTTTTCAAGAATATTTATTGTATGTACACTGGATTTTTCAAAAGGCAAATAAATGATGCGGCAAACTATGTCAACGTCAAGCGCATAGCACATTCGTTCTCAACCGTATCGTTTTTTGGGTTTTTTTTTCGGGTCAGCGGTTTATTCTTTGTTAATTTTAAGTGTTCTCGATCGTTCGGCCAAAAAGGAATAACGTTCTCAATCGTTCGATAGCCATCAACTACGACAATAAAACCTGTAGATTACAAGAGTACTCTATACTTGATAATGTTGAAAAAGTTAATACATTCGAGTTTGTAAAAACCATCATTTACATTTTTACCAATAATTGGTAAGAATGTAAATGATAGAGTTATTGCGAGTTAGTGTTATAATTATTGTACAGATTATTAAATTTTTTAATAATTTAATTAATTTATTTATCATCTACTCGTATTCTAATTTACAATTCATAATTATTTATCATGTATTAGAAACTAGAAAAAAAAATCATTCCCGTGTTCTAATTTATAGGTAACTGACAGTTCTAGATTAGGTTGATTTATTATTTATTGTGTAAAAATGAGAATCAAAAATTTTTTTTTTTTTGTATGGACCCAACTAGAGTAGTACTTGTAAAATCGTGGGCCCCAACTAGTGTACTACCTAAAAATATTTGGACCCAACTGGTAAATGCCGAAATGTTATGCGTTCGCACGACTCCGGCACCAAATCGCTCACCCACCATCCACCATGCAAATCTATTTTATTCCGTGCACGTACACAACCCGTTCTGTCGGCCGGATGGGGATTGTCGGAGGATTGAATAGGTGAACGGAAAAATCTATTTCACCGTCCACTGCGCGGAACGCCGAAGGGTGAAATGCGCAGTTGGTTTGAAACGGTTGAATTGGTCCGCTCATTAAAATATACACTTCGGCGGGAATAAACATTCAAACGTTTCAGCGTATGCCTCATTTTCAAAGCGTGTGGCCCGCGGGGCTTATGTCTGATTTCCCATCGTCTTGCGCCTACCTCACCATCCTCTCGGGGAGGTTGTAATGGTCCGGGAGAATACAGAGGATTAATTGAATCCTAGGATTCTTAGACGGGTTAATAATATCCTTGTACAATCTTAACTCCCCGTAGAAGGGATGAGATTTGATTGGGTGACCGACCGCGATTTCGCTAGCGTTGTGATCGCCGAGACAAAACATACATTCGTATTAGCTCCCAGCCTGATAACGTTGGGTTAGGAGAGGTTAGTTGGACGAGTAATGGACTGCTGAACCGTTGCGCGACCATTGTAAAGGAAACGGAGCGGAGCGAGAACACGTATTCACGTCAATAACGGATCGTTGTAATCGGTCTATCGGCAGCACTTTCCGGCACCCGACGCAAATCAATTATTTTTCGACCTCCCCTCCCCTCGATTTTGGCGAGTTGAAATAACCGATTACTATCGACGGGTGCTTCCTGAACGTACGTCGAATGCAGACGGTTCATTCCGATTTAACTGTTTTACCTGTTTGTGTACATAAATACATGTTATATACGTCGCACGGGAGAAGAAATATAGATATCGGAGCGCCCCTACGACGTGATGTGCGTAATGTCAATGGTGGAAGCACTAGTTGGTTAACTAAATAAGGACTATATGCAGGCGCGCAATTTCAATGAAAATACTGGAGGTGCTGAAGCCCTCTTATCTTTTTCATGTTACTTAATGGGATATTACCCGTACATGATACGTGTACGGCTTAAGGGACGAAGGACAAACTTGCACCACCATTATTTAAATAATAAATTTATATATTTATACAGTAAAAATTATGTTTTTCTATACATAATGAGTAATGAGTATTTAAATGTAAATTAACCTGAATACTGTGCTAATTTCGAAAATAGGGGTGCTAAGTACACCCAAGTCTCTCAAATTACGTCTATGGCTATATATATATATATATATATATATATACAAGATATATCGCGGCCATTCGACAGTTCTGAATCTCGTTTAATTTGCAAATAGGAAAATCGATGTCACGCCACGTTACAAGGTGAATATTAAGGAAAAAAAATATATGAATAATAACATTGTTTCGATTGGTATAATATGTATTTTACACATTTGACTTGAGAAGATGCAAATGTACCATTGCTGTTGTTGCAATAATAATGGATTAATTTATAACTACTACAAATGCCTATCAACAACTATAGCAGTCATCACAAGATGATAGATGCCGTTATACGGAATAATATTTTATTAGATATTAGAACTATGTATTTGAGTATTCTGGTACACTGATATTTTCAGATAGTATTCAATAATAAAATTAAAGTATTAGTGATAACCTTCTATAACACCATATTCAATAAAAAAAAAATTAAAAAAAATAAATCACCGATTTACCTAAAGCGACGTAGATAACTATTTTGGGATACAAAAATAATTTAGCCCAGCTACCGAATTTACAAAAAGTCTATTACTTCATAATTCAATATATTAAGTGGTATTGCATCCGTGCAAAAAATCTCTAACTCAGGTCGGAAACGAAAGTCAAATGAGTTGAATTATTTGTGACTACATTATTTTGAAATATTTTGTTATTACTAGAATAAATATTTGTCCATGTGCCACTTGATTTATTATTTATTTTTTTTTTTGTCAATGCTTTACCTTAGTATTTACCTAGTATTCTATATTTTATAAGATTGCAATTTCTGTTGTTACGATTACAATGCGTAGAATTACTGAATTTGAGCCACGACGGTCGACGATTCTACCATGACGAGAGAGCAATATTAATGTGTTAACCACAGGCGACTCTATTCGAAAATGTAGTTTATGTTGAAAAATTTAAACATTATGTTGTTTATATAATGGCATATTTTCAGAGTGGGGTAGTGTTATCGGTTCTCGACTCCCCCCCCCCCCCCCAAAAGAAAAGAAAAAGGGTTGAAAAGGCCCACCCACCCCCCCCCCCCCCCAAAAAAAAAAAAAAAAAGAATTAAAAAAACAAGAAAATTATAACTCCCACCAAAAAAAAAAAAAAAAAGAATTTGAAAATACATGACCGAGTATATAGATAGTAGTAGTAGTTATAATATTGAATTATTATTATTTTAATTGTTGTATTATAATATCCAATGTACAACATAAGTATTAAAATGTCGTAAGTTGCGTTTTTGCTGGAACATGATGAAATATTTATAGAAGAAATTCGAAAAAAATCTCGTGTAAGGCTACGGTTACTATGGATGCGAGCTTCAACGAGTTCTAACGAATTTGTCAGAACAAACAAGCGTATGTTTTCCAATTAGTGTTTACGCTGATAAAGACGAATTCATTTACACATATACGACGTCGTCAGAAGCAGTTGAGCGTTCAAATAAATTTCATTTTTTTTGTGCGAACTGTATCCATTACGATAAATTGATCAGTCTTCTGTACAAGAACAGGTGTTCGTGGGATACGAGTGACGAAAATTATCATAACCAAGATATTTCTCCGTAAAAATGGGAGAAAGCTACAGAACTTCATACTAGCAGTTAGTAAAACTACTATAAGTTAGTAATACTAACTTTTCTGGTTGGTCTCTCAATTCTTGAAATAAAATTTACAACTCTCATTCGTCGTGTCTTATAGAAAATAACTGATTGACAAGCTTTGTTTTTCCACTCTTTAACAACAATAATTTCATTAACAGACTTACAAGAAAATAAAATTCATCAAGTCCGCCTATCTATGCTAGACGGCAGAAACGTACTGACCATCAGAATATTAGAAAAGGTACGCAGGTTCTGTACCGCTTGGTTCTGACAAGTACGTCAAAAATCCTTGTCAGAATACATTTTAGTCAGAACTTGCATCCATGGTAACCGTAACCTTATACGATGTTTCATGAATTTTGGTTGTTATTTCGTAGGTTCAAAGTAAACAAAAGATAGTATAAAATTAAACTGTTCATGGTTGATACGAAAAATCTCGGGAAACTTAGTATGATTTTCTAATAAATGTTTATAAAAGATTTAAAAAAAAACCCTTCAAACACACTAATAAAACGTTAGTTGATTTTCTCTTATTTGGAAGCATATTAAAAAATAAAATTTCATCTTTTTCCTCCTCCTCTTCGAGCAAATTTATTGTTATTTTATTATTCATAACGTACATTATTTCAGACATACTGAAATTGTATTGTATTTATCTAACCCTTTATAAAGACGTCTTTACTCTACAAAATTATAAGTAATTACTATGAAATAAAAATAAAATGTGTAGAGAGCTGCCACGGTTTATAAGCTTATAAAACTAGTCACACTTAGGTAACTTGTCACCGTGGCTGGTCACAACGATCGGCCGTCGCGAATAGCCGCACTTTGGAAACCGTAATTTTCACGTTCACGTTTGAGTTTACGTTAAGTTTGCATTTTATTGTAATTTAATTTTAAATGTTAACGTTAATTTTATTAATTGTTGAACATTGATTTTGAAAGTTGCTTACTCGTTTATTGTTCGGAACAGTTGTTTAAGAAGGTTCGATAGAATTCCTAATTACAACTCTT